CTCATACTTGGGATTTTTAGTTTTTAAAGTCTCACCAATTGTGAGATGGTTTCATATTACCATATCTTATATTTGAAGATACCATTTATACCTAGGGAAGGAGTCATGATTAATGATAACAGCCTGTGGGTAATTCTGAAATTTGTTTAACCTGTCAGATCTGATCATTGTTTTAACTTAGGGGTGTCGAACTCAATCAGAGAAGGGGCCAAAATCTAAAATCCAGCCTAAATCGCAGGCCGAATGGTTTACTGAACAGTCATAAACTGTCATTGTGATGGAAACGCAGCAGAGTGCAGTGATGACAGTGCGGTGCGGGCCACATTGCAAGGCCTGGCGGGACGGATTTGGCCCGCGGGCCTTGTGTTTGACACATGTGTTTTAACTCATCAAGTAGCAGAAAGAAAGCTTGAATGAGCACACAGGTCAAGCAATGCCATATTGTTGTAGCTTCTGCTTATACTATTGTTGTTCTCAATTCCTTTAAAAAAAAAATAAAATAAAAAAAAAAAAAAGAATCCTTTTAAGCCAGCATCTTATGAGTCAGTTTAACCAAAATTAAATATAGTCTATAGATCCATTTAACCAGTGCACCTAAATGTCAATGTTTTACAATGAGCTAAACGCAGACAAAAGAGTGAGGGCCCCAGCCTTAACCCTTCTGACATGTGGAACTCCATGCTTTCCTCCTACCATTCCTCCCAGAGCATTTCTGGTCAGTTTGCCAGAAATAAGGACTAATGTGTCAACAGCAATCCACATGCTATTATCAATAAAGCTGCTTTTTGGGGACATTTTTTTACCTAAAAAAAGAAAATCACATTTTCTTCTAACATATAATTGCCCTCCTGAGATGTATATCACCACATATTGCCCATCCTTATTTCAAAGACTACTGATCTCACCTATATGCCAGAATGTAGACCTTATTTTGGCAACAGCTGAAAAACTCAAAACAGAGGATAAACCCTGATTATTTATAAGCACTTGGGAGACCTAGCCTGGACATACTTATTAGTCAAGTGAAGGTGACAAATGCCAGCTCTGGGTCTTGAGGTAGGCCACTTAATTCCCCTTACATGTATATGAGACATGAAGTAAGGGAAGCAAGGCCTGATGCTTCTAATTCTTGGGCCATTTCCTTTGTCTCAATTTTCCTTGCTTTATCATCAGAGCCCAGCAACATTAAAAACTCTGCTGGGAGTTCTGCCAGAATTTACTATATTCTAATTCCTTGTCTAGCACTTTGCTTTTCTTCCACACCTAGCAAGTGAAATTCTAATGAGAACAGGAATGCCTTTAACTAAGGTGACCAGATTTTAACACTGGTAAGGCGAGACACCATTGACCGCGGGGAGGGGAGGGGTTCTTGAGGATCTCTTGGGATTCCCTAGTTTGTTGTGCATTCTTTCCAAAAAACGGGACATTTTTAAAATGCTGCGGGACGCAGGACAAATTGTTAAAAAGCGGGACATCTGGTCATCTTACTTTAACCCAACTGAAGAATGAGAGGGAAGGCGTAGGAAAGAGGAGGTGTAAGCAGGAGAGGAAGACTCTGTTAAGAAACATGGAGAGCAAAAACAGTCCTTAGAAATTGCACCTCTGTTCAACAGATGCCTAGTACATTAAAGTCATTATACCAAAAGATGTTCAAAACTGGACAAGAAAAAAGCATTCTTAACAGGTTACAGGGAGTCAGGCACAGACATATAACCTTCTCTTTGGCTTCACCAATCACCCCTTAGCCGAGGTAAACCAAATGTCTCAATCTGTGCTGTAAGTTTTATACTGCTATGCTGACTTCAAGTCCATTTCTTGGATTCCAGAGAAGGGCCAGTATAAAAGAAAGATAAAGGCTTACTTCTGAGTCACTTCCATGAAAAAAAAAAATAAAAAAATTTAAGACTGTGGATGCTCAGAACTGGAAATCACCAGGAAACAAAGGGGCTCCCTGGGTGTGCACACACACTATGTGGACTCATCCAAGGGGTCTGGGCATTCCTCTGCACAGCACGCCACTCTCCTGCCTGCCCATGTGCTATTTTGGCTTCCTCAGTTTTGACTCCCTCCTAATGTCAGCTTGTACTTGCCCATCATGGCAACTTTAGGCATGGCCTCATCAGCCTGGCTTTTAAATCACAGTTCTAACTGGAAACTGGAAAATTATCTTAAGTTTGTTCATTCACTCAGTCAAACATTTACTGAGCACCTAATTTGTCCAAGGCACTATCTTGAAGGTAGAAATGCCCAGCTTAAAAACAAATCAGACTTTTGCTCCATGGACGTTACATTCTAAGGAATCAGAGGGAGACAGATAGAATAGAAAGTATTTCACTAGAACAAAAACACCCCAAACAACCTGATTTTAAAATGGGCAAAGGATTGACTATTTCTCCTAAGATGATATATGAATGCCCAATAATCACCTGAAAAGATACCCAACATCACTAATTAGTAGGGAAATGCAAATCAAAATCATTCATGCCCATGAGAATTGCTACCATTAAAAATAGAAAACGTTTTAATAAAAGAAAATAACGGTGTTGGTGATGTGGAGAAATTGAAACGTGTCTACTTAAGTGGGAATGTAAAATAAACAACAGTTGTAGAAAATCGTGTGGTAGTTCCTCAAAGAGTTAAACATAAAATCACCATATGATCCAGCAATTCTACTTCTGGGATAGTATAGCCAAAAAAAAATTGAAGGATCTCAAAAAGATATTTGTCGCCCATCTTCATAGCAACAATATTCATAATTGTCCAAAGGAAGAAGCAACCCAAGTGTCCATCAACAAATGATTGGATAAACAAAATGCAGTACATACATATTAAGCCTTTTATAAAAAAGCAAATTCTGATGCATTCTTCAACATGGATGGAGCTTGAGGACATTTTGCAGAGTGAAATAAGCCAGACACAAAAAGACAAATATTCTATGATTTCACTGATATGAAGTACTTTGAATAGTCAGATTCATAGAGACAGAAAGTACAATGATGGTTACCAGAAATTGGAGTTATTGTTTAAGGGGTACAGAGTTTCAGTTTTGCAAGATAAGAAAAGTTCTGTAGATTGATGGTGGTGATGGTATAAAATATGAACACATTTAATACCACTGAACACTACAGTTAAAAATGGTTATGAGGGAAATCTGGTTACCTTCTTATAATCTCACATTAAATAATGATATACTTGATATTATTATTTTATATTTTATCTATAGTAAATATACTATAGTATATTAATAATATATATTATTTCCAAAGATGAAAAGTTCTATAGAGAAAATAAAGGCAAGTGGGATAGGGAGTGCTGAAGAGAAGGGAACTCTCAGATAGAGGAAAGGTTCCTCACAAGCCCAGAGCATGTGGGAGTTAGAGTCCAGGACCTGAGGGATGACGTGAGAGTCCTGGGCTCCTGGCTGGCAGAGGCACAAAGGATAAGAGGCACACTGAGATAAGTCCCCGAGCTCTCAGCCACAGGGGTGCTACCGTGGCAACGGTGCCTTGGAAGCACACAGACTCTCCCCCATCGTGCCTTTGGAGTCCTGAACAGGCAGGCAACGCCTTGGCCTTCGCAGTAGGACCCATAGCCTCACCGATTTGTAAGAACAGAAATCTCTGTATTGTACCCTTCACTTAAAATGGTAACTAATCCTGACATCTGCTCCCAGTGTTGCCATTTAAATATTCTGACTGGAATTGTGGCTGTGGGTGCCTGCTGGTAGCATGCCCTTGTTAAAAGTCCTAACAAATAAATCTCATTTTTTTTTAGCTCATATCTTCATATCAAACCACTTCCCAAATCACTGGTTACCCTCAAATCAGCTCCTACCCCTGGACTCAGCAGTGGCTTTAGGCCATGATGGGATGGGCACAAGTGAAAAATGCTCAGAGAACCATGCCATCCAATTCTGTATGAGCTGGTGGCACTGGATGTCAGGGCATTAATTGCATATGTATCCTATTACTTTATAAATTTCAACAACTCCTGACACTCAAATATTGTTTTTATTTTCACGTTTTTTTTAATCAGAAAGAAAATTCCACAAGTCTCCTTAGTAACCAACACTGGAGGTAACCATCACACTTAACATCCTATATAATAAAAGGCTAATATGCAAATAGACCAAATGGCGGAACAACCAAAATAACCCAACAACCAGTTGTTATGATGTGTACTGACAACCAGGGGACATGCACAGAACATGGCGGATGTCAGCTGTGGCAGGACGGTGGAGCAGGTGAGCGGGGTGGCCAGACCAAGTTGGGGCACTGGCAGCTGTCATCGGGGTGAGCACCTGGAGGTTACTGAAAATTCTTTGCCTCCCACATACTGCAGTCCCGCCGGGCATTTGCACTTGCTGCCAGCGCTTCCCTCTCACACCTGCTGCTGGCACTGGAGCCACCTCTCTCACCCACTGCCAGCGCCCAGTGCTGGCCCCAATCACTGGCACTGTCAGCAGTTGGGAGCAGCTGTGGCGGGAGTGGGCTGCCATCAGACAGGGCAGCCCAGTTTGATTCCAGGTCAGGGTCCATGGAGGGAAGGGCCGGGCAGGGAAGCAGAGGGTGGGCCAAGACCTGCCCCTGTGCCTACCGCAACCTCATGGTAGGATCCATAGCCTCACCAATTTGTAAGTACAGAAATCTCTGTGTCATACCCCTCTACTTAAAATGGTAACTAATCCTGTCATCTACTCCTTTCAAGGTGCATGAATTCATGCACTGGGCCCCTAGTAAATAATAACAGGAAGTTAAACCAGATTAAAACTATCCCATTTTAAATAAAAAATTCTGAGTAAGATATTAAGTATTATCATGTAGCAATGTTCTAAGCTTACTATTTTGATGTTTTAAAGATATGACTTTATAACATTCATTTGTAAAAACAGAAACACAGTTTTGCAATAGTTTAGTAAAAAAATAAACCTAATAATCAGTCATAGTAGAAACAAAGTTTAATACAGTTACATCAAATGCAACATTTACAAAACTACTTACATCCAAAGAATCCTCCTTCAGTTGGATGAGGGCCATATTCTGGGATACCAACCGGCAGGAATATCCTAAATAAAAGAAAGGACATCACATGTGAATTTATCATTCCTTCCAAGAACTAAAAGTTTTTCAATGGTTTTCTGAATTCAGGCTCCCTTCATATATCTTTCTTATCACCACTTTAAAGTTATCCGTTCATACAGAAGAACTGGGCAAAAGTAAGGGGTAGAAAAGTAAGTTTAAATTGATTTTGATTCTTGCAGGCAGTTTGAACAGAAATGATTGGGAAGGTCTTCAAAACTAATGACTAAAATAAATACTTGTCAATTTTCTGCAGGTTTGTCTTTAGCCTTGTATAACATTAGGATAAGCCTTGGGCTATCTAACATAATAGCAAACACATTAGGGAGACAAAAAAAATATAACGGTGCCCCTTTATCAACATAAACTTGCCTATCATCATATCGAGATCCCTCATCTGCTTTTTGAAAAGGAGGTAATTCTCATAACATATTTCAAAGATATACTATTCTACATTGAGAAAGTCACTTTTCCTATCAAATAGTTAAAGCAATCTCCATTTCAAGAATTAAACCTGGGTTTTAAAAAGAAGTTTGTTTTGGAACAAAAGTCTTCTGATATTAATTTTTTTCAACAATTTCTATCACCTTTTTATATAAAGTTATCTGTATAAATTATGCAAGAGAGGCTTTCCCACTTTCCCCCCACAGAAGGTGCACATATTTCCTATGAGGCTCTTTCCTCCTCAGGCTTTGCAGTCCAATCCGGACGCTGGAGAAACTGCCACACCGCACACCCAGCGAGAGCCTCTGCAGACTCCTCCCCTTCCAACCCACACACTCTGGGAGCAGGCGGCTCCAGCCAAGCCCAGGATCGGAACCCTAGCCCTTCTTTGCAACCACCCTCCACCCTCTCAGTGCTCCCTGACAGAGAGCTGGCATCAACAGGTGATTTTCACCAATCCTCCTCTCATTTTATCTCGTTGAGAAAGGACAAGAAAAGATGCCTTCCGCTTAGAAAACTGGCCTCACAACCACCTCTTTCTCAGTACCTTAAGCTAATGAAGCAATGACTTACAGAAAATGAAACAAATCATCAGCACACAGAATTTCAACCTTGCAGCAAGTACATATGTGATAATCTCAAGAAAGGGCCTTGCCCAGTTGGTGTGGCTCTGTGGTTGAGCATCGATGTATGAACCAGGAGGTCACAGTTTGACTCCAGGTCAGGGCAAAAGGCATACAATTTAGTTCAAGACAGGCAAGAATTAAGAACAAGAAAAAAACTTGTTGTTGTTTTGTTTGTTTGTTTGTTTGTTTGTCTTGGATAAATATTTGGATAAATATTTTTATTTGTTTATTTGGGAATATACAAAGTATATCCTTCACTGTCATTTAAGAGGGATATTTTCTAAATCACCTCAGAAGACAAATTTTAAAGCACAAAATTATGCCTTTTAACCCAACTGTTATTTTTTTTAAATCAATGCCATAAAAATATAGCCCAGGCTGTTAACAATAGTTATCTCAAGGAAATGAGGTTATTTCGCTTATTAAAACCACCACATATTATTTTAAAAATTGAAACAAACTGAATAGTTTAAAATCTTAATACCACATAGGCTAATACCTGCTAAACCTCTAAAACAAAACAAACAAAAAAGGAAGAAAACATGAAACAACTTTCTATGCATTTTCAAACTCATTCATGTCTATATTTTAACAATAGTGATGAGTAAAAATGAGAACTTCCCAGCATGCAAGTAAAATTTCTGCATGGTAGGACTAAAATAATTGAACTCTTTGTTTCCTGTTAAAATTTTACAAATGTATTCCTCCTCCCTATAAAGTCTTAGATTAGGTCCAGAAGGGAGGTCTATATTTTATTTTCATACACAAAAGGGGATATTGCAACCTTAATCACTTCCCTCTATGTTAGGCTTACTCCTTCTTTATCCCCAGAGACTTCCAGAAACTTTATGCACTATGGACTGTTACAAATTTAGTATAACTGATGCAAAAGGATTTGCTGGTAGTTCTTTATTTAAGCAACAGCTGCAAAAGTGAGCTATAATTTTTAAGCCCTAGCTTGCTGCTTTATTCTATATTTTTCAATTTAAGCAAAATGCCACTTGACAACTGAAGCTGCACAAAGACATTATGGGAAAACTTGAAGCATTTTTTTAACCCATTGCAGGGAGAGGGCAATAAATAAAATCACTGACACTTCCATAAATTTTAATATAGAAAGCTGAAGGTTTCAGAGAAGTAACAGGTTGTTGGTGGTGGTTTTTAAATTTGGAAAATGAAGTGAGATTTTGCTTAAAGAATTATCACACAGCACACTTTCTCTAGACCAGTGGTTGGCAAACTGTGGCTCGAGAACCACATGCGGCTCTTTGGCCCCTTGAGTTTTTAGCAAAGGCCAGCTTAGGAGTACCCTAATTAAGTTAATAACAATGTACCTACCTATATAGGTTAAATTTTAAAAATTTGGCTTTCAAAAGAAATTTCAATCATACTGTTGATATTTGGCTCTGTTGACTAATGAGTTTGCCGACCACTGCTTTAGACAGACCATGGAAGTTTAACACAGTTAATTGTGGTTTAGCTAATGTGGCAAATCAAATTATTTCAATCCAGGTTTGGAGTGCTTGATTTCTAATGTTTTTGGATAAAATGAGATCAACTCTTGGAGAAGAGCCAGGTATGAAATGTCAATCCTCACTTGTAAATTGAGATCTAGTTCTTTAATCTCACAGCCTAACAAGACGACCATAAAATGACTAAGACAGAACCTCTGGGGTTTCACTTTTTATTACAGCCGAAACGAATGTACACTACAAAGGTCTTAGTCTTTCAACTACCTGAGTACAATCAACATTCAGAGAAATCAAAATAGTACAGTCTATGGTACTTAGAGAAGGACTTGATTTTAAGACAATAAAATAACAATTCACACTAGAAAACATTACCAAACCAAATTTATATTTTTGCATCAGTATCTCTTTTTCTGAGGCAAGCTCATATTATTAAAGATATCCAAATCCACTTGTTTTGGTTACAGTTTTGGAAGGGTTAGGAACAATTTATCCTTCCTGGCCATACATCCTAAGATCAATCAAGCTAGGCACTTTTGGGATTCAACATGGTTCCAAACCCTCAACAAGTGTGTTGTTGCCTCTAAATATTTTCACGGAGAAAGTGGTCAATCATTATTTGAGTGTGAGTGTATGGATGAATAACAAAACTTTACTGCTCCAGACAGGGTCACAGAGGCTCGGGTGGAGTCCATAAGTCATCTGTAGAATGAGGAAGCCAAGGACTTGCCTATAGAACCACACCTGGGCACCTTTCCCTCCAGACCCTTCACACCCTCCCCAGGGATGTTCCATCACAAGTGAGCACACACTCAGCCTTGCCTTGTGGCCTCCTCCCTGAACTGGCCGATCGTGACCCATTCTGTGCTCAGTCTATTTTTTTTTTTTCCTCTTCAACAAACTCTTGAAGGCTCAAGTTTTAATCCTATCTCATCTGTGAAGTCTTCCCTGTGAAGCTCAAATATCTTTCCTTCTGGGAAGTGAATATCAAGTGTGGCGATCACGTGCTCAGATTTTCAGCACTCTCACATCTCTGTGACCTAGGTTAAGTTGTTTGATAATTCTATGCCTCAGTTCTATTTTTGAAAAGGGGATAATACCGATCTCCAAGGGAATTAAATACGAAACTTATGTAGCACAGTATTTGGCACATTATAGCTAACATTTTCTGAATAACTATTATTAAACCAGTCATGCTTAATACCTACGTTGTGTAATTACTACTTTCTTATCTACATACTCTTTAATTTGTCTCACAGGTAACTCATCCCCTTAGTAGAGAATGTAAGTTCCCCAGGCTGAGAGCAGAACATCAGGCAACAATGCTAGCTGCAGATAATAATTAAAAAAAAATAACACCTCTGACTTTCCTGGGGAAAACAACACTAAGATTGTGAATGCCACAAGCAAAGCCCAGCTTCCCCTGAGAAGGGGATTTGTTTTCCTTTTAATGGGCAAGGCAATCTACAGGCAATCACAGGATAGGCAAGCATCGTATTTACTCACATTTAAAAAAAAATTTTAACTACTAAGACTATAAGAAGTGGTTTAAAAGTATCAAATGATGAGGAGCAAAATGCAGAGGGCAATTCCAGCTCAGACATGGATGAGAATGAAAGCTATTTCCAACTTTCTGACTATAAATACACACTAGGATTTTGTTCTCACTCATCCCACATGCACTAGAAACAAATTACAGATTCTGAAAACTTCACATCTATTGCCTAACATTTTAATAGATGTTTTATCCATTGGTAATAAGGAAATGACGACACATAATTCACAAAGGCTACATTTGAGATTTCACTTTAGACTATCTGATGCCAAACTTTTAAGCTAAAATAGAAAATTGCCAACTCCTTGAACCACAGCTAGTTAGCATAAATGCAAGCACAGCACAGCAGGGGGCTGGCATTGCGCCAGTTCTAAACTACCTACAACCTACAGGCAAGATGACTGTCTATCTACATAATACTCACTGGCTCATAGGAGACATAACTATTCTGGAACTTAATTTGACTAAGTATATTTATTTTCCAGGTATGAACTAAAATAAGTTATCAAACTATGATTATAGGGTAGATCAAATGCTAAAAAGAGCCAAGAACCCAAACATATGTCATCCTATATAATACTAGGTGTACCTGTTAATAATGAGGATTTTGTAATCAAAGAAAACACAATAATTTCAATAGAACCATCAAAAGTGCTTTATTCAAATTAATGTCCATCACTAGCTACACATTTCCCCATCTTTCAAGTAATTTGTGGATACCGTCACAATAGAACTTTTCTTGTTTTGAGGCAAACCATTCAGAGACCCAATTTTCCACTTTTTTATATGTTTTGAAGTGCTGCTCAGAAAGTGCATGTGTCATCAATTAGAACAAGTGGCAATCTGAAGGAGCAAGTCTGGTGAATACAGTGGGTGGGCTAATACTTCCCAGG